CAATTACAATTATAATTCAACACAAAAATATATCTTATATCACAAAGGAATATTTAGATCTGCTGTACTGAAGAATTTTAAATGCTTAAAATGTGGTAATTTACCTTAAAAATTAAAGTTAAGTTGACATTAATATTCTTTCTAGACAGGTTCTTGCATGAAGGATCATTCATTCTCTTTCAGGGTTATATACGACCATGGAATTTAACTTACTTAGGCTACAGGATAGGACTTGCAGATTTTGAATAGAGAATGGGGAAAGCTGATCTGCATATTTTCATGCAAAATGGTAGAAGACAGAGACACATACAACTATTCATTTAAGGAAAAGTTCAGGCAGCATCAGTTTGCCTTGATCAGGATGTGGTCTACAATTATATATAATGCAAAATTAAAGTAGCTAAAAGCTAATACAATCCTTGGTTGTATAAACAGAGACATAGAATCAAAACCACGTGAAATATTAGTGCTTTATAAAGTAAGTAAGGCCACACCTAGAATACTGCATCCAGTTTTGGACACCACACTATAAAAAAAGATGTTGAAACTTTGGAAAAAGTGCAAAGAAGAGCAACTAAGATGATTAAAGGCCTGCAGACTAAAACACATGAAGAACGATTGCAGGATTTGGGTATGGCTAGTCTAGAGAAAAGAAGGACTGGGGGGACATGATAGCACTATTTAGGTATTTGAGAGGCTGCCACAAAAAGGAGGGGGTCAATTTATTTTCCAAAGCATCAGAGGAAAGAACAAGAATCAATGGATGGAAACTAATCAAGGAGAGACGCAACCTGGAATTAAGGAAAAACTTTCTAACAGTGAGTGCAACTAATCAGTGGAACAGCTTGCCTTCAGAAGCTGTGGGTGATTCATCACCGAAGGTTTTTAAGAAGAGACTGGACAGTCACTTGTCTGAAATGGTATAGGGCAGTGATGGCTAACCTTTTTGTCGTTGCGTGCCAAAAGCAGGGGGAGCATGGTAGGTTTGTGTGTGGGCATGCCCACACCCATAATTCAATACACCCTGCCCCCCGCCTGTGCATGCATGTGCTTCCCCCAGCGCTCCCACCCGCTTTTGGCACATGATGGCACGGTGGGCCTGGTAGGCCCATTTTTCACCCTCCCCAGGCTCCAGAGGCTTTCTTGGAGACTGGGGAGGGCGAAAACTGTCTTCCCCATCCCCCAGACACCTTCAGGAGGCCAGAAACGGCCTGTTTCCCAACTTCCAGTGGGCCCGGAACAGCCAAAAATCAGGTGGCTGGCATGCACATGCGTGCTGGAGTTGAGCTAGCGTGCCCACAGATATGGCTCCACATGCCACCTGTGGCACGCATGCCATAGGTTCGCCATCACGGGTATAGGGTCTTCGGCTTGAGCAGGGGGCTGGACTAGAAGATCCCCAAGGTTGCTTTTTCCAGCTCCATTCTGATTCTGATTCAGTGTTTCTCAACCTTAGCAATTCTAAAGTGTGAACATTGACTTCAAGAATTCCCTGGCTGGGGAATTCCAGAGTTAAAGTTCATACTTCTTAGAGTTACTAAGTTGAGAAATATTGTCCTGGACATAAAGAGAGGTTAGAATGTAGTCATCCTGCAGGTTTTAAACTTTTCTGAATTTCAATATACAGTTCTTGGATGAAAAGAAGCTGTACTGCACCATTTGTAAAGTATGTTTAGAAGACAGGGTTTGGCTAGAAAGTAGTATGTTGTTTAATAGTATATAATTGGAAAATATGAAATCATTTTTATTTCACTGCAGAAGTGGAATTTATTAAACTCATACTGCTGAAAATTATCTGAGTAATCCACTTCTACCTACAATTTCTCCTTCAAATTTAATAGAGATGGAAGTAGAGTAATCACAGTTAATTTTCTGATTGTATAGTGGATCTTACCATTGGCTTAGACCCTGACACAGTTGATGAATCTCCATCTATGTCAATGCTTATGGATGCTGAGCAGGATTGGAAACAGAATGGAACAAGGAAGTGTAAAGAAGAAAAGTGAACTACATTGCTCCGAACTACTGCTTTTCATTGGTTTATGAAATGAAAACTCCCTACAAGTAGACAATTAGAATGGGAGAAATTGTCCTGATTTTCTTCAAGATGTGCAAATATTCTTCTTAGCATAGGGAAAGATTTACAGTTTAGTACTGCCGTCTATTTTTCCATTTAGCAAGATATTTTACCAGAATGGACTGTATGGTCCCATCCTGAGCCTTGGGTACATGCCCTAGTAAACTTGCAAGAAGTGCCCCCAAATTATTGCTTTTAACATGTGAGAAAAATAAATTAATTTAATACATGTATTACATGTCTTAAATATTGGACAGCACTGATTTCAGTCCTCAAAAAATGTGCATCTCTGATCTACAGAGATTTCATTTCCTTTCATAAATTTGAATTATTTTCTTCTTACTACTTTGATGTTACAATCGTAAGCATAGCTATTCAAAAATAATTCCCATAGATTTTAATAGTACTTATTTCAAGATACAGTTATGAACAACAGAACCCAGTTGTGAATTAGCAGTCTCAAAAATGAGATTATATCTTAATCGTAATAGAAATTTTGTATTAATCATCTCCCTATAATTCTCACCCTCCTTTAAAAGAAATAATTTTATTCATTTTCTCATTCTCGTTTGCTTCCACTCTTCTTGGCCACTGAGTAAACACCATTAATAACTGATACAAAGAATCAGCCATATAGATAAACTGGGCATGACAAAATATCAACTTGCAGCTGCTCAATTGAATGCCGTATCTGTACGAGTGGTAATTACTTTTAATTTAATTAGGACTCCTAGTATTGTTTCTATCTCATAGATTACATTATAACATGTAATGTGTTAAAGTAACAAGACAGAAAAAGGAGGGGGAACTAGCAAATATTACCGTTTTATCTATGAATAATCTCATAGTTTAAGTTGTCTGGAACATTTGTTTCCCCCCCCCCATAACTGTTCATAAACTCTGTGACGGAGGGGGAAGAAGCGAGCCAAATGCTATCAATAAATAACATACTATAAAATGAATCTGCATCCCTTTGGGGGAGGGAAGTGTATAAAAAAAGCTTTAAATTGAATTAACCTGAAATAAATTTATAATTATCAAGTCATGGATAGTCTACGGGGTTGACAGATAGTCAAATTTGAATTCATCTTGCATGCAAATTTCTCAAATTTCTTCTTAGTCCCTTTAAGCATTTCTTTGTTCATTCAGTAGTTCACTAACATAACAAGAGGTAAAGCTTCAAGAATAATAGAAATAATAAATATCCAGAAACATTGAGAACAGTACCTGTTAGCTGAAAAATATTGGTACCACTTTATTAATCTTCTGCAATTCAAAATTCTGGCAATCTCTGCATACTTGGAAAGCATCTGACTGGGAAAAGACGATTTATTAACTATTGATTAGAACTGGCTCTGGATTCATTCCAAGGTATAGTCCTCGACTTACAACCATTCATTTAGTGAGTGTTCAAAGTTACAAGGGTACTGGAAAAAGTGACTTATGACTGTTCAAAGTTACAAGGGTACTGGAAAAAGTGACTTATGACTGTTTTCATACTTATTACCATTGCAGCATCCCCCTGGTCATGTGATCAAAAATCAGATGCTTGGTAATTGGCATGTATAGTACTTATGTATTTATGCTTTATGCAATGGTAGAATGGACTTTACAGTCTGCTCAATCCTATATTGTATCAGGTTTTCAAATGTTTAAAAACTGCATTTATTTGCATATGCACTGCAAATAATAATGCTTTTTATAGTTATATGTAAAAATAAAAAAATATTTTGCCGTTTTTTCCCAGCAGGTTCTGACAGGTTCTGGAGAACTGGTAGTGGAAATTTTGAGTAGTTCGGAGAACCAGCAAATACCACCTCTGGCTGGCCCTAGAGTGGAGTGGGAATGGAGGTTTTGCAATATCTTTCCCCCAGGAGTTGGGAGGGAATGGGGATTTTGCAGTGTCCTTCTCCTGCCACGCCCACCAAGCCACACCACGCCCACCAAGCCACGCCCACAGAACCGGTAGTAAAAAAAATTTGGATTTCACCACTGCTTTATTGGGATAGCCATTTGAATCTCTTGCATCATTGAGAAGTTGGAGCTCTGCTTTCTGCAGGATGTTTTCTGCCCTGTGTCCCTTCACTGCTGAAGACAGGCACAGGCTTCTTGGGGATGAGCCTGTGTTGTCTGCATCTCAAACTGAAGCGCGAATGGTTCCTGTAGTCTGCAATTTTTCTGGAAATCTGTTCATACCCCCACACCATCCCAAAGTGCAGAGTTAAATGTCTATGGAGATTCTCAGTCATCCAGGTCATGGTTGCCCCAAAGGCGCTTTTTCAAGAGGCAAGTGGACTTTCTGGTTTTTCTTTGAAGACATTTCGTTTCTCATCCAAGAAGCTTCTTCAGCTCTCTCACATCATTCTAACCCAAAATGGTCTCTCTTGGATCATCCTTACTGCAAAATTCTGCTGTATATTTTTCTAATATCACCCTCCTTTTTTTCTGCACCCCTAAATCCTTTCCTTTACCACATTCCCGTAAAAGATTATACTATTGTCTTTATCCCATTGTAATTCAGCATTTTACTGGGGGGAAAATGGTTGTTACATATTTAATATTAGGACTCTGCCCTGGCTTATAAGGGCTAAGGTTCTGTTTGGTGGTGATGCTATTATCTCACATTTCTCCATAGTCTGTATTCATTATTTAGTGAGTTATATTTTCCCTTCAATAGCTATCACAGTTTTCCTAAACAGACATAAGGAGATAATTTTTTCTTGAATCTGGGATGAAACACAAGCCAGTAAGGCAAGATGTAATGAATTTTCTGGCCTTCCACAGAAATGCAATATGAGAAACACAAAAAATAAAGCTTGTTAATCTATATGACATTAAGAACATGAGAATGGAAGGTACAAATTACCCATGTCACCACTCAGAAATGTTTCTATGTCGTGAAAATATTATATGGAGAGAAAGCTGTTTTAAAAACAAGTTCTCCAACAGCACTTGCAATACAACATTTAAAGAACTCTTCCGAGCGCTGACAGATTCTCTGACATGTTGCAGAAATTCTCTCCTTTTTGAAAAGTTTGTGTTTTGATCCAGTCTAGATATTGATGTAGAGAGATGATGTCAGGCTCTCTTTTATCCAGTAAGATCTTCCTGAAAAACATAATGGAATATATCTCCATTGGCTGACTTGAGTTCTTTGTAGAAACAGTAAAGGTGGGATACAAATATATAAATAACATAAATGTAATGCAAGGTAAGGTTAGGAAATAGTAGAGCAGTGAAGCAAATAGGATTCTTAATCTTTTTACTTGCTGCTTTTCCTAAAATCAGTCTTTCTGTCTTGTCTTCTCATCCTGGAGCTTCTCAGAATCTAATTGTGGAAAAACAACAGCAGTGGAAAAATTGCAGTCATGGCAAATGGCAGGCAGGAGAGTAAGTTAGCTCCACGCTTGGCCTTATTTTCTGTTGCTTGATGTGTTCTTCAGTTCATGTTCACATTTATCAACACTATTTTACCTCAATCATACACAGACATTAAAAGAATGTCAGTTGCATGGTCATGTATGATTCTAAATCATTATAATTAGCAGCTAAAATGAATTGTCTTTGATATTGTGCCAAATTATTACCAAACTGAATTTATTTATGGCTGATTTCAGTAATAACAGAAGGCTTCAGTGGTGTTTTTTTCAGATATATTTTTTTCAGATATTCCCCCATTTTCCTTCATGACCCTTTGTCCCTTTTTACCATTGTGTTGCCACATGACATGGGAGATCAAAACCACACTTGTATACAAGCCTTGACACTTCCTTGAGGTCTGCTTGATTGTAGCCTGTTCTGCAGCACAGTGGAGATCATAATTCCTAACTCACCTTTTATGGCAATCCTGATGGGTAATTTCAGGTTCCTGATGAAAAGTCAGACAACAGGCAAATGGCCGTAAGCACGCAGCCTTGAAGGGGGCTTTGCTGCAGATTCATTATAGCTTTACTAATGAGATTTTCATCCAATTTCGGGGGTGGCAGATCCTTGTGAAAAAGGAGAACAAATACAGGAGGATGACTATGCTCTATTTTTTTATAGAGAAAAGATGAACCACAATAAAAATGCTAAATCAGTTTCTGGGCTAATCATTGCTCTAACATGTACTTTTTAATTATCATGTACAGTAATTTGCCTGTGGTAAATAGTGATGAAATAAGCTAATTTTTAGATGTTAGAAATAATGGTCTTCTAAGAATATAACCATTGTGCTGCTCCAGCAAAGGTCCATCTTAGTCCAGTATTGGGAAGATATTGGCCACCCATAGACCCTTCAAACTGACCGGCTTGAGATGGAGATATATTTTGCTTCAATCAATGTCTCTCTGGAACAGTGGGAGAGAAGAACATTTATATATACAGAAATAAGAAAAGAAAATGATCATAATAAGCTCCACTGTATCTTGTTCAGCAATAAGTAACAATGAGACTAGCTAGGTACATAAAAAAAATTCACAGCATGGATAGGTGGTAAAAAAAATACTTTTTGTGCTGTGTTTCCCAAGCAATTGTTAAACAAAACACTAATGGCCTACCACTATTTAGTCACTTAAGCAATACTACTGGGTATGACAACATTTAAGCTTAAGGATGCCCCAAGTACTCCCAAACTCCTAGCTATCACCTGGTCTTCCCATAGTCTCACATTCCAGTAGAGGCAAGGAAAGATCGTATAATAGGTCTCTAAGACTACAAATCTCAAAACTCATGGGGGAAAAGGAGGGTGTAAGTGTGTGTTGGTCTTTGGGTCGCTGCCCCAAAATTGATTTGAAGCTATAGTCAAGAAAACTATATTACTAAGGTAATTTGAGGGAAAGGAAGTTGTGCTGTAATCTAGGCAAATGAAAGCAAATATATGTGTCCTGGGATAATGTTCAAGATCCAATCTGGACAAGTCACCAGGACCAGAGTCTTCTGGGCTCTTGGACTCGTACTGGAACTTCAGGGAACCGCAGGGAACTTCTCTCTACCAGAATGTGTGAATCACATTCTGGTAGAGAGAAGTTCACACATTCTGGAGTGGGGTGGGAATGGAGATTTTGCAGTATCCTTCCTCTGCCATGCCCACCATGCCCACCAAGCCACACTCACAGAACTGGTAGTAAAAAAAATGAATTTCACTACTGGTGGGTTTCTATCGGTTCGCCCCAGTTCAGGCGAACTGGTAGTGGCGGAGGCAGGAGGCTCCGCCCACCCTCCTGGACATCATGACAGATGCTCTGCACATGCTCACAGTTCCAAACTGATAGTGAAGGTAAGTGGGCTACCTGTATATTCACCATTCTCTAGAAAACTCAAATCAAGGATCTCTTTTCTGGAGACTGCCATTTTGAACTGTGACTAAGAAAAGTTTTACCAAGGTAGCCATCAGACTGTACTGAAGTCATAATAAATTGTTCCCATTTAAAGGAATGCCAGATAAAGGATTACAGTTTAAAAGTACATTGTATTGTGATGGATATTTTCAATTATATTAGCCTTGGAAATGCCTGAGACCTGCTTGGTTCTGTTTTCTTCACTTTCCAGCTACTGTCTTCTCCCGTTCTGGCATCCGATCAGCACTGCTTAGTATATTTGACAAAATGTCTGTGAATCCAAGTTATGTGCTGGTACTAATTATTTGTACATCAATACTTGGGGATTTATGTTATTTGTTGGTTGATTTTTACACTGTCTAAATGCTCTCTCATCACAAAAAGGTACTTTGGCCAGTTTACAATAAAAAGACTTTCAAAAGTCTTTTCACATCTCAGTTGGAGCTGTTTTATGAGATCGCTATCCTGACAGATGTGACTTCTTAATATATATATGCGCAAAAGAGCTCAACAGATTGTTCGCAATAATCTTCAGATCATTTTAGTAGTGTATCATTAATTTATAATACCAGTAATTTTCCGAGTATCAATATACTTGAAATATCATTTTAGACACAGATTTGCTCACTCGGTAGAGATTTCAAAAATGTGATTAGAGTTTTGTTTTGTTTTTTATTGCTCAAGTGAACAATTTTTTTCACTTAAAAAGTCTAATATTATTGAAAATAGGTTTGCTATGCTGATTGTTACAATTATATATTGTCTTGTTAGCAATAACCATCCAAAATATAATTTTTTTAAAAAAAATCAGCTTATAGAAGATCTACTCAGTTAATATACTAAGAGATATCTGAAATGCTTTTCCTCACTTGAAGAAATTAAATGCCAACATTCTCAATAAAGTTTCTCTAACATTTGAGGTTAATTGATGTTAATTCTCTGATTTCTTATGAAGAACGGTGCAATTTTAAAAATGCATTAAAATATATCCCATTTTACTTACAAAGAAGGACTGACCTCTTGAGGCATTTTCAAATATTTGGGTAATATTCATCATAAACTATTTATTACTCTCTTCTTAATGTTAATAGCTTGAGTTGAACTGGGACTTTTAATGGGGGGTTCCCCCCCCTTTTTAAAAATGTGTCTAACTAATTTACCTGTCTTCCAGACCTTATGGAGAAAGCTGGAATTTAAAAAGAATTGCCAGTATTGTACTGGAGGGGGGCTTTAAATCATTCTCCCATATAAAATGTTTTCAACAGAGTAAGGCTAGTACTTTTTAAGGTTGGACATAAGAGAATCCTTGGAGTAAAAAATCCGTAACTTATCAGTGTTCGTCCATGTGGCTCATTCAGAATTCAGAATTTGGAACACAAATTTAGAATATTGAATGTGGCATTATTCATTTTTTGGCACTCAGTCAGACAAGGCAGTTAGCCAAACAAACTATCTCTCCCCATACAGGTGAACCAACATTTCTGACAATCTTAAAAAATTGAAAACATTCATAAATCAAAATATGAGGTTTTTTTCTTTTCCATATTGTCCCATTAACAATGTGCCAAATTTAAGTACACTGGGTATAAAAACAAGCTGACTATCGTGAGCGATGCCTCCATTTGGACTGGCTATATCAATTAGTAACTATAAAAAAGACTTACCAAGGTGATATTTCAATCAGTATTAAGCTTTTTAAACAGAAAGAGAGAACATTTTCTTTTCTCTTTTCCTCTATTTGAAAGACTGGGACAGACAATAATAAATAATTAGCGTTGGTGAGGATTGAGGATTAAAGGTTCCTTACAAAGGGAAAACTTAAAACTTTCTTTGCTCTTTGAATTAACTACAAATTGGTCTGCAACTATTTCTTGATGTTACTAGATGAATAGTGTTTATGAAGCATAAGGTTATTATGTGAAACAATGTTTAGGAGAAAGTGCCCAGAATCCAGTATCTAAATCAATGATGACAATGGGAAATACTTAAGATTCTATCATAAATAAGGTACATTCACAAGAAAATTTATGTTCAGTAGATAAGTATATTTTCTGAACAGGAGCCGTATATGGAGTTGCAGTCTGTGATTCTGTAATGGTTTTTAAAATATTTCAGTCTTTTTTTCAGTTGAGAGAAAAATTCAGAATAAGATTTAAAACTGTTGTTTAAAATGGTTAAAATTCATCCCTAAAGGAAAACTTTAGAAGAATCAGCCATATAATTTTTTTTACTTCATTTTCTGAATAGTAAGAACCCCAGACAGTGCCACTTTGAGCAATTGGTCACCCCTGTGGCGTAGTTTTTCTAGCATTATATTGTGTTAAATTTGGCTTTTCAATTCAGTCCCTTTTGAATTACTTTAAAATATAAATTGAAATGCTTCTAGACCCTACATCTATACTTTTCCAGTGATCACTGTTAACCTTTTAGTATTATCTTGAAATTATTTCCACTCCTTAGTTCCAACTTTATATCCGTTTAATTAATATTTATTTGTTTATTTATATCCTTTCTTGATTATTTTTTATAAATAACTCAAGTGGCATACACACCAGTGGTGGGATTCAAAAAATTTTACTACTGTGGGTGTGGCTTGGTGGGCGTGGCATGGCTTGGTGGGCATGGCATGGCTTGGTGGGCATAGCATGGCTTGGTGGGCGTGGCAGGGGAAGAATATTGTAAAATCTCCATTCCCACCCCACTCAGGGGAAGGATATTGTAAAATCTCCATTCCCTCCCCACTCCAGGGGAAGGTTACTGCAAAATCCCCATTTCCTCCTGATCAGCTGGGACTCGGGAAGCAGAGAATAGATGGGGGAGGAGGGCAGTCAGAGGTGGTATTTACCAGTTCTCCGAACTACTCACAATTTCCACTACTGGTTCTCCAGAACTGGTCAGAACCTGCTGAATACCACCTCTGATACACACACAATACTCCTTCTCCTCCTATTTTCCCCACAACAGCAGCCGCATGAGGTGAGGGGCTGAGAGAGAAGACTAGTCCAAAGTCACCCATCTGGATTTCATGCCTAAAACAGAACTAGAACTCACAGTCTCCTGGCATCAAGCCTGGTGCCTTAATGACAATACCAAACTGGCTAAACTGGGGAGCTGAACAAAATATGGAGATGAAGAAGACAACAAGACCACAAAGAGAGGGATGGTCAAAAAAAACACAAGATGATGATCACAACCATACAAATTAAGCCTTGCTCCCTTTGTATATATGTTGCATGTGGCAAATGTATACACACACACCTCTGGGAGAAGGGCATGATGCAGGGGTGAAATGCTCCCAGTTCAGACCGGATCGCCTGATCCGGTAGCGATGACGGCGGGTGGTTCGGAGAACCGGTAGCAAAAATCCCTGCCCACCCCCCATGCCCAGCTGAGCCGTGCGATCATCAGAGGTTTTTTTTTTTTTACTTTTAAAAGCATTTTTTCTTCAGCCAAAAAAATGTTTTTAAAAGTAAAAAAAAAAAGCCTCTGATGATCGCGTGGCTCAGCTAGAATTGTCAGAGCCTTTTAAAAGCATTTTTTTTACAACCTCTTCGGCCAATGAGGTTGTAGAAAAAATGCTTTTAAAAGTAAAAAAAAAAGTTGGCCACGCCCACCCAATCACATTACCCCCGACCACCACCAAGCCACGCCCACAGAACCAGTATAACAAATTTCACATTTCACCACTGGCATGATGGTATTGACCAGCATAGTGCTGCACACTTCAAAAAGTATTTAGAAGTACTTTTGATCTTGCACCAGTGAATCACCTCTCCATTAAAGCAGCCTAACTTTCCAGGCTTTTATATGAGCCAGAAGACAAAGGACTGATGTTTTGGTTTGCAATAGCTTTAAAGGGAAGTTTCTTTAAAGCAGCAGCATCTCTCTCTCTCTATCTATCTCTCTCTCTCTCTCTCCCTCCCTCCCTCCCCCCTCCCTCCCTCCTTTTCTCTCTCTCTCTCTCTCTCTCTATCTCTCTCTCTCTCTCTCTTTCTCTCGTCTGTGCAAAGCATTCCAAAGAGGTGCCCCATAAAACATTTGAAGCATTAAAGCAGTTGTGTCATTTACAACAGGGGTCTCCAACCTGGGCAACTTTAAGACTTGTGGACTTCAACTCCCAGAATTCTGAGAGTTGAAGTCCACAAATCTTAAAGTTGCCCAAGTTGGAGATCCCTGATTTAGAAGGCCTCTGTGACTATTTCAAAGGCTGCTCCCAACTATCTCTATGTACAGTACCTGCCTAGACAATACATAGGAGGAAACATGATGATGCAAAGTGTCTGTATCTGGGCACATATGCATAGACAGCAGAGACTTTAAGTGTTACTTCAGACAAGTGGCCCTAGGTCTCTTCTGGATACTTTAACACTTAAAGTGATGTGCACTTCTTTGGAACACTTTGCAGATTTGCACTATAAATGTTATAGAAGGTCTACAATACTAGCTCACTTTGGCTATCCTTTATGTCCATGAATAGATGTTTGTGATCCACATATCACGATTTTCAGCAGACAATTCATTCGTTTAAGTTATTAACATATCCAACTCTACCTTTACTTTTGCTATATTTCATACTACTCATGCAATGAAAAAGTTAAAGAAAATTTCAGGGATTATGTAAAGACATTCTTTTTTTTTTTTTTTTAAAGAAATCACTTCTTTCCTACAAGATGTTATTTCTCTCCATGTAAATTAACTTCATCCTGGAAAATATTTCAATTCAAAGATCTCTTAAATATTTCCTTTTTTTGACACTCATCTTAGTGATGGAAATTGGAAAGGAAATAAATGGAAAGAATAGAAGCAAGGAAACTGCATACTTCGAAGTGCATCTAATATGCAGTAATTAGAAGAGCAGGAGAGAATGTTTAAACTAAGTTCAAGAACAGTGATAAGGCTGGAGATGATGTTATCTATTGGACAGAAGAAACTATTAACATACACCAGAGTGTTTTCAATCACTTAATCAGAAAACCCTTTTCCTGAGCACTGTTTCTTGTCCATGTGCCATAGACAAACATAAATATTTTGGATTTCCTCCATCCTTCATTCTGATAATAGCCTCTTAACTTTAAGCCCTTCCCACCTCAAAGACAAAGCTAAAACAAATGATAATACAGGGAAGATAAAGATTATTTTTATGCCAGATGAGCTTTCAAATTCACCACAAAGAATCTGCTGGTCTTTTTCATATTACTGGGATTTCCCCCCTTCACTGTTAGGTATAAAAAAATGAAAACAAAGTGGAATAGTTTGTTTTATAAAACTATGAAGTATCAATAATATATCATGGATAGAACTTTCATCTAAAGCAGCTCCACTGTAAAAAAAGATTGTTTTCCCCAAATCAGCAGTTCATGCTTACATGTCTTTTCATGTATCTCATTATCCGCTAATAATCTGAAAATAATATTCAGAGCATTCCTTGTTTAACCTATTAAAATTCATCCACAGCATGGGTGTCAAACTCATGGCGTCAAGTTGCCATCTCGTGACGTATCGTGATGTTTTTCCCCTTTTCAGAGCTGGGGTGGGTGTGGCCTGTACATGATGCATCCAGCCCACAGGCCACCAATTTAACACCCCTAATATAGTAATCCAACGTATGCCAAGATTTTAGTAAAGATGTATTTTTGTCAAGTTGGAAGCATGCCAAGGCAAGGACCACTATCTACTTCCATATGGGCACAGTTTTGCCAAAAACCGGAAGTAATTGCTGATTTTCAACAAAACCACCATTAAACATGGTCAAATGACTGTGGGACCCTGTAAGTGGCCTTAAATACGGGTTGGTTGCAAAGTGTGGTGACATGACCAGAGGGAGCCTGATCATTATAACTTTGAATCTGGGTTGTAAGATGGACCAGGTAGGTCCATCATAACTTCAAATAGTTGCTAAGTGACTAGTTGAGGATTACCTGTAATGCACCTTCCAATATTTTTTAGAAATGTTATTGATACATCCAGAAAAAAATTATACTTAAACTTGCACAGTCCTTTAGATAAAATGAATTATGTCATGAATAATTGACTCATATGCCACAAGGCTATATTTGACCCATTAGGACAGGGCTGTCAAACTTATGGCCCATGGACCGGATGCGTCACTTGCTGGTCACGCCCACGCCCAGTTTAGCAAAGGGGGGAAAAGGTCCCAATACATCACGTGATGCTGCCATGACGACATGAGTTTGACACCCCTGCCTTATGTTCAGCAACAGGGCTGATTACCTGTTCTTACTACCTTTTTAAATCATCTAGCACTGAGATAGGGTGACCAAATGCACTAAATGCCCCATGAAAAATAATTCCACAGGTGCAGATTTTTTCAGCTGTACCTGGCAAGCTAC